CGTACGCCCGCAGGCCTACAATTAATCATACACAGGCAGGACAGACAGGCAGAGAGCCAATGATTGGAATTATTCTTTCCGGTAGATGGTGACATTCGGCGGTTAGCGAGCGTTTGAAATTATAGTAGAAGGATATCCAGAAACGTCCCAATTGATAGAATGTTGTTGCTTTGTGGTTAGTGGGAAGGGGATTGGCGGTATGTGGTTTAGCGTAGAGGTTCGAAGAAAGGATGGTGGGAACATAATCGTATTGTATAGTAAACCCATAGAAGTGAGAAGAGAACATGGTAGAAACATGCCTGTTATGTGTGATTATACCATCCAAGTAGTTGATATACAATAATGCACGCTGTATACAGATACATAACCTTGACACGTTATATCAGAATAGATAATCCTATTATCTACTTCTGATTTATATCAATCATCATAAAATGTCGCGGTTTTAATGATTCTACTAATTTTTAATTAGTTTCTCTATTAAGTAATTTCATTTATGGTCTGTGCTGTATAGATCATGCCGGAATCACCGCGCTGGCTCTCACTCACGGCAGAAGCAGCAAGGTGATAAAATCATACGAAGGATTGCTAAAGTCAACAAACGAAACGTCTCAGACGAGATGATCGCAAGAGTCAAAATACGCGGTTCGTACTATGAATATAAAATTTTAGCGGAGGTTTGATGAGTAGATAAAAAGACAGCACACACATCGAGACTATATCTAAAAATATACCATTAGAACCAAAGTCAGTGAACGCGCGTAAAGGTTAAGGGTGAGGAGGAAGAAGAACAAAGATGGAACAGGCGCAAAAGAAGAGATGTACTGGAAAGAAGGGGAACACGTAAAAACGTTAACAAAGTAGAGGTGTTGAGAGAGAGAAGGGAGAGCACATGATAGGGGGGAGAGTTGCAGGGTAGAGTACACTCAGTAGAGCACTTACTCACTTTCATATTTATGCACACATATACGAACGCAAGCACACAGGCACGTAAACAACTGTATAAACAAGAGAGGAGAGCGAGAGAGCGAGAGAGATAAGAGAGAGAGAGCGAATAAATAAATAAATAAAAAAAATATAAAAAAATATAAAAAAACGATATTTATTGACAGAAGATTCTCTGCACACTTAGTCCGGTTCATATAAGTCGCGCTAGCGCAACTCTATTTAGGGCGCGAGCTCCTAATTTTGTGCATGCTCCAGGGCAGTTCAGATCGTGTGAAACGGTATGAGCCTGTTCAACGCAGCTGATATAGACAGACACCGGTAATAAGGACATACTGTCAATGTTTTCATAAATCACCGCGTGATTCCGATCTTCTATATTTATCAAGTATTTTTATTTCGTTTGTTCGTTTATTGGGATGTTACGATGTTGGGTTTCTATGGATTCCAGCAAGTACATACGTGTGTGAGAGAGAGACTGAGTATGCGTGCGTGCGTGCGCGCGTGCGTGTGTGTGTGTACTAGTGAGGGTACAGTGATTGTACAATGTTCAGTACAGGGAGTTAACATAAGTAAACGCATCGTAACATAAGAAAATGTAACATAAATGATGCTGACATAAATTAGCAGGCCGTTATAATGCAATTAACTATGCGGCTCTGCAAGGAAAAGATATTATTAGAATATCGTTTACTGAAAAACATCTTTTCGGTGGGCGGAAGTTAGAATTACTAAGTGAAATAAATACAGTAGTAGAGCAATGGGGGTTTAGGCTGGCGTATACCTTACAACATATATAGTTATTACAATATACATAGTACATACTACATGCAGTACAATTATAACAGTAGCCGAGTTTTTATAGGTGAAAATAATTAGCATGGCATGAAAGAGTAGCATAATAAAGGCAGTATTTATATAATGTTGAGAAATGTACAATCAATGTTTGCTCTAATACTTACAGTCGTAAATCTGTGTACGTATTGTGAATCGTAATATTTGTGAACCGTAATTCGGCTGCACTTTCCAATTCACGTGCGCAAATTTTCACGGCAATTATCATATAACACCAAGAGCGAAAAAAAATGTTTTGTTTGTACTCATACATTCTTGGTAATATGATGACATGATGAGCATTATACACACATAACAACTGCGGATTTTCACGCTGGGAGCGAGTAGCAAACAATATCAAGAGCGTATTAAGAATGCATACTTAATAGTAATACGCTCTTCACAATATGTCATTATTTAGCAACCGCGAAGCCTTTCTCTTCCTAGTGCTCAGCACACGAGCACGAGATGTCTATTCACATTTATTATAGGATATCTAAAAGGCGTCAGTTTCACATCGCGCCCGTGCGTGCACATTGGCGCAGCTATATCAATTTCTCACAGCCCAGTTACTTTACTGTGTCGTCCTACTAAGTATTATTAACTCCTGCTGAGCGAGACACCAACCAGATCAATGCCAGCAACGATCTATGCAATCATGCCCTTTATAGGTTCACGATAACTATTCGCCGATTTGTCACGAGGAATTCTTTTGGGGCAGCTCCTGACATAAGGATGGGGTTAATAACAATAACAGGGGACACCTGGACCAATAACAATGACATAATAATGCCAGGGGTTAATAATGACAATTTGTCATTATTAACCTCTGATAATACGTATTAGTAAGTAAATATAAGTAGTACCTGTGTTTACAGAACTGAGGAGCGATGACTAGGCTGTTACGATGCCTATTTGTAGCTTTTCTAGCCGAGGCGCGTGCGTATATTCCCTTCCCGGGCATTCAACGTTTATACGAACTCATATCAACCCACAGTCACATATAAAAATATACATTTCTATCATCTATGCCCAGCAATGGTATAAATACGCTGTCCAAGTGCGTGCAGATATCGAATTCACCCGTGTCTCATCCTCTCCTACAACTACTTCTGGTTACTCGATCTGGTTGCCCTCTTCATTCGTCTCTTCGTCTCGCTCTGTCTTCATCCCGCTCCCACTGCTCCTGCTGCTGCCTTTCCTCCTCATCTTCCACTTCCTCTTCCCCCTCCTCCTCCTCCTCTTCCTACCCCCTTCAACATCCTCTTCGTTCTCCACAGCATCATCATCATCATCATCATCATCATCATCATCATAAGCAGCATCATAATCATCACGCCCACTTCCATTTCCTATTGACCCTCCTCCCAACCATGTCTCCTTCCTCCACTGATCCTTCTTACTTCGCCCCCACCATTATTATGTGTCAACTTAGTCTGGAATACTCTCAGAAATAGCATGAATTTGCAACACGACTCTTTCCATTTTCCCTCGTAATTTATACAGTCGTAAAAATGTTCGGTATTTGGGTACTAGGCAATGCCGCCTATTAGAGCCACTGGCAGCGGGATCAAGTCAGCCTCCACGCTGACGCTGTATGCTCACGCTACAGCACATCTATATATACCCCCATATAGTTATGTATGCTGATAGGGTCTATGTCTCCCTTTCTCTCTCGCTCTCTCGCTCTCTCTCTTTGTTTATACAGTTGTTTACGTGCCTGTGTGCTTGCGTTCGTATATGTGTGCATAAATATGAAAGTGAGTATAAGTGCTCTACTGAGTGTACTCTACCCTGCAACTCTCCCCCTATCATGTGCTCTCCCCTTCTCTCTCTCAACACCTCTACTTTGTTAACGTTTTTACGTGTTCCCCTTCTTTCCAGTACATCTCTTCTTTTGCGCCTGTTCCATCTTTGTTCTTCTTCCTCCCTCACCCTTAACCTTTACGCCGCTTCACTGACTTTGGTTCTAATGGTATATTTTTAGATATAGTCTCGATGTGTGTGCTGTTCTTTTATCTACTCATCAAACCTCCGCTAAAATTTTATATTCATAGTACGAACCGGTATTTTGACTCTTGCGATCATCTCGTCTGAGACGTTTCGTTTGTTGACTTTAGCAATCCTTCGTATGATTTTATCAGCTTGCTGCTTCTGCCCGTGAGTGAGGAGCCAGCGCGGTGATTCCGGCATGATCCTATACAGCACAGACCATAAATGAAATTACTTAATAGAGAAACTAATTAAAAATTAGTAGAATCATTAAAACCGCGACATTTTATGATGATTGATATAATCAGAAGTAGATAATAGGATTATCTATTTCTGATATAATGTGTCAAGGTTATGTATCTGTATACAGCGTGCATTATTGTATATCAACTACTTGGATGGTAATAATCACACATAACAGGCATGTTTCTACCATGTTCTCTCTTCACTTCTATGGGTTCTACTATACAAATACGATTATGTTCCCACCATCCTTTCTTCGAACCTCTACGCTAAACCACATACCGCCAATCCCCTTCCCACTAACCACAAAGCAACAACATTCTATCCAATTGGGACGTTCTGGATATCCTTCTACTATAATTTCAAACGCTCGCTAACCGCCGAATGTCACCATCTACCGGAAAGAATAATTCCAATCATTTGGCTCTCTGCCTGTCTGTCCTGCCTGTGTATGATTAATTGTAGGCCTGCGGGCGTACGGGCGTGCTTGCGACAAAGGCATGCTTGTGTATGTGAGCAAAAATTTATGTACGTTTTCACAGTAAGTGATTCAAGAGAAAGTAAATAAAAATTATAATTGACTAAAAAAATAATACACGTATAGCACTAATGTGTATGGGGAATGGCTCTCCCGTCGTTAGTCGCAGTTGTCAGTCAAGACATGTTTCTGCAGCCGATCTTCCGATCTTACGCGCTCAAAATGGGCAGGGGCATGCTCGCGACATATGTGCATGGCTATTTACTGACCAATAAAAGACGCCGAACACCGCGAGAGGCGCTGCAGTAATGAGAGCGATGTGGCGCCAGTTGAGGGATAACCAGGCGATGAGAGGTAAGGCCATGGCACCGAAGACAAATGTCATCCAGATCATACTCGAGACGAGTGAATGCTTGTCTGCAGCTGCTAGTTCCAGTGCTGCGTGAAGAACGGACCAATAAAAGAAATAACAACGTTTTACTAAAACTTTTAGTATATGATAAAATCGGCGCAAACACCTGCTGGCGTAATTAATAGAAACACAGAATAAATTATTGCGGTTTATAACATACGTCTGCGCGCGCACGAGCGTACGCCCACGCACGCACGCACACGCACGCACGCACGCACACGCACGCACGCACGCACACGCACGCACGCACACGCACGCACGCACACGTGCACAAACGAGAAAAAGTCGATTACATTAAAGATCGATTATATATATAAGATTATTATTAATTTAATATATACTATCATATATAGATGAAAAATCCTACCCCGTTCTCACGAAATAATTAAACATTCCCAATGAGCCCCGAACTCTGTGTGAGTATCTCATGTTCTTCATCCTGTAATTTCACACGATGTCTATAACCTTACAAAGCACAAACGGAGCTTGGTATATCACAGGAACGGTTGCCCCCACAAACGTTCGGAAAACGGTGAACGAAATTATTTCAGGAGCGAACGCCGTTGCCACTCCGAAGACGAGCATGACAGCCCACGTGGAAAAGAACCCGGGTCTTCTGCCGAACCTGGTAGAAAGAAGGCGAAAGATAACTATTCAGCCGAAACAACTGCCCATTAACAACGATATTAGAACATTTTCGCTGACCTCCCGGCGCACCAGATAGAAGGAACAGATATACGATAGGCAAGCCCTTGGTTAATCGTGTCGTGAGCTTCCGCTTTCGTTAGGTAAGTACACGCCACACGTCACTCTGTGACGACGGCCGTAAAACGTGAACTGTATGTGTACCCTCGCGATATGTTATATTTTGAGAGTCTACTCCAGCAAAATACAAAGGCATGCAACCACGTACATGCACGCGCACGTGTGTATGTGTCCTGGTTGCCTCTTCATCTCGTCTCCTTCGGTCTCGCTCTCTGAGTCTTCGCATGCCCGTACCTCACTGACATCCTGCATGCTGAGCCTTATCCGACTCCTACATCTTCACTCTTCCTCTCGCCCCTCGCCGCCTAGCACTCACTCCTTCCTACCCCCTCAACATCCTCTTCGTTCTCACACAGGCATCATCAATCCATCATCATCATCATCATCAAATAAGGCACCATCATAATCATCACGGCCCATTTTTTTTGTTTTTTCTTACATTTACTATTGCCCTCCTCCCAACCATGTCTCTTTCTCCATGATCTACTTCTTAACCTCGCCCCGCCACCATCTATTATTGTGGTTAACATTAGTCTGGAATAGACTCTCAGAAATAGGCATGAATTCTGTAAAACCGGACTCTTTCCATTTTCCGCTCGTAATTTATACAGTCGTAAAATGTTCGGTATTTGGGTACTAGGCAATGCCGCCTAATTAGAGCCACTGGCAAGCGGATGCAAGTCAGCCCTCAACGCTGAACGCTGTATGCTCACGCTACAGCACATCTATATATACCCCAGCATATAGTTTGTATGCTGATAGGAGTCTATGTCTCCTCTGTGCTACTGCCGAACGTACCTGGGTTCGTCCGGTAATACCGGAACGTAGCGCCTGGTAACTATCTGATATTGGTTAGGGGTAGGGTTAGGGTTAGGGTTAGGGTTAGGGTTAGGGTTAGGTGTTAAGGGATAGGGTTAGGCATTAGGTTAGGGTTACGGGTTCAGGGTTTTACCCGCGGTAGTAAGGCGTAGCGACTCGCCCAAGAATGCGTTAGCTGGAGTAGGCGAGGCTACGGTCCGGCATATTAGATAGTACCAGGGTACGTTCCGGCAGTACCCAGGAAGACATAAACCCTGTCAGCGTTATGTATAGTCCAATATAGTCACACAACCACCTATATAGTAATATATATCTAATATCAGGATATATTATTTGTTGTTAGAAAATATAATTTGTCATTATTAACTCCTGCTAATATCTGATAGCAAGAGGCACCGCAAATACTGTGCACACCTTTTATCAGCGGTAAAATCCTATTCGTAATCTCCAAGACATTTGACTCACTAATTTGAAATTTGCGCTGATTCCAATTAGTTCAATTACGGAGATTGACGTGAGTGCACGAGTACAAATTTAACTAGAATATTATAGTGCTTATTTCAAATTCGTTTAAATTTCCTTAAAATTCCACAATTCCTTAAATTCTTAAATACAGCCTGCACGTAAGCTATGCAATAATGGCTAAATAAAAGCACAAAGCGTCAACTGATTCTACATTCACTACCACTACTATTACCACTACCAATACCACTACCACTACCACTACGGGGCTCCCATTGGCTCTCACCTCCCTTGCAAGATATATACTATAAACAGTCAATAATAGTAATAGAGATACTACTACTACTACTACTACTACTACTACTACTACTACTACTACTACTAACTACTACTACTATACTACTTACTACTACTACTACTATACTACTACTACTACTCTACTACTACTACTACTACTACTACTACTACTACTACTACTACTACTACTACTACTAATAATAATAATAACTAGAGCACTCGGAGAGCACAGACCTCCGCCAAGGCAGCTCAATTGTCTCACTGTGAAAATTTTTATTAATTAATTAATTAATTGGATTCGGATCACCACCAAAATGTAATCAATTCTAAGTTACCCCATTTCTGACCTATCCTAAAAAATTAATTAATTAATTAATTAATTAATTAATTAATTGGATCGGCGGATGGCA